AGGCAATCTGAGAATAGGATCAAATAGTCCTTCAAAGTAAACTGATCGAAAAATATTTTTATTCATTTCTTTTTAATAATAATAAATACATTTCATATTCAATGATATCAACGAGCATCCCATTCCTTGCAATAACTTAAAATAAAAAGAAACTTCTGATTTAAAATTGAAATTGCTACACTTAACCTGCGAAACGTTATTTCATTGTTAGTGTGTTATGTTGAAATAAGAACAAACAGACAGATAAACAGGCAAAATAACARCATGAAAATAAGGTCTACAACTAACGTAGTCAACTATTTTACGGGTTAAGTGTCAGTAAGTCGTTTCTGTAACTAAATTCAGAACAGCTTAGCACTTTTAACTTTGATCATGAATCAATTTATAGTAAATTCTAACGTTTCTTGTCTTTAAACTATATTGTTCTTTAATTATATCGAACACAGTCCTTACTGAAACTTTCTCCATTCACCCACTCTTGCAGAAAACCGGTGGCTTTTCATTTTCTTTGAGTTTCCTGTGGTCAAAAATAAAAAACACGAAAAAAGGCGAGAAATGAAGGAAAGGAGGAAGGATCGATAAGACAAAAATARCTCCTCCATCGCGCTGCACTCACTATAATTTCCACAGGAGACCCGAAAAGAAAAGCGAGCTAGTTTGATAGCATCCCGAGCAATCCCGCGGGATCAATAACCTGCGGGTAATCCACCCTTTCTGTAATCTGACTCAGCGAACACCTGTGACATGAACCTGTGAACGTAGCCTTTTCGTTTCCCTTTKGTAAGATCATTGGCTGTGAATCGTATTGGGTTTTTAACAACGGCTTGAACAACACCATGGCTTGTATCACTTACATCAACCTAGGCGAGAAAAACTTCGTTATTATTAAAATCTATCATTCGAGTTAGTTTTGTTCTTGCGTCTTGTATAAAGATGAATGTAATAATGACAAAATATGCAATGTAGGTTTTATAAACAATTCGATACAATAATAGCATTTTTTTAGAAGAGACAATGAATATACCAGCTGATATAATTAGAAGATAGATGTAGAATTATAGAGGAGTCAATAATGAAGGCTGAACTGGGCCGATAGGACCAGAGGCGTCCAACGTAAACCTTATGAACCACGACGTGCCGATTTCGAACATCCAGGTGAAGACGTACGTAGGGGCGTATCCAGGAGGGGGGGTCACAGGGTGACCCCCCATTTCAAAGCCAAAAAAGCGAGAAAACCATAGATCAATATGACATCATATTGACGTCATATGACGCTACAGTAACAATTTGGTATGTAAGGACCCCCCACCCCCAATGACGATCCTGGATACGCCCCTGGTACAATTTGAATGGAAACTAGTAATTATGATGTTTTATACCTTATGTCCTAAAGCACGAAGACCATTAACAACCTCTGGAGGGAACCATGTTTCTGCGAACACAGATTCAGGGTAAAGCTGATCGTGAACTCTGGCTCTGCTCACCGCGTTTTTAATGTTGTTTTTAAACCAGAAGTAGTTCATAATAACCTTTTGAAAAAACACAGAGAAAAGATAATTTAAGTATATCATCCATTAACTCTCATTTCCAAACATCTATTGATTTAAGTCACGCCCATATGTGTCTTCCCTCTAGCTCTACCCACCAACTACGCCCAATTTTCTACTCTCTAGCTCTACCAAGCGTTTCTACACCCCTTTGGCAGCCACGCCCTATTTTCTACCCTTTAGTTCTACCAAGTATTTCAAAACCTCTTTTCCAGGAACTCCTTATTTTCTACCCTTTAGCTATACCAAGCATTTCAACACCTCTTTTCCAGGCACTCCTTTCTACCCACTAGCTCCACCCACCATATCTACTCCTCCTTGCCAGCCACGCCCTATTTTCTACCGTCTTTATGTGACATTTTATATAAGAATTTATACTCACGTTTGCTACAGCTGTGGTGATAATGGTTCCTCCAGCTCCTCCCACGACCATGTTCACGTGACTATCCTTGTCCAGGATGATTGCTGGTACCGCAGAGGACTGCGGTCGTTTACCTGGTTTGATAAAGTTGACAGGTGACGGAAGAAGGCCGAACTCGTTGGTGATTCCTGGAGCACTGAAGTCATCCATTTCATTATTGTACACAAAGCCGAGACCACAGGACATGAACTTGGCACCAAAACTGAGGAATAAAATTTGAGTTAATCGGTTGGATTTGACATTGAATTATTATTTGAGAATAGCTATGAAATATAGAATTATTGGACGAGGTCGGCTATGATATGGCAAATTATTGGTTAAAGTTTAATATGATATTAACGAATAATTGGCTAACACTGACTAGAAGATCATATAGAAGATTTACTGGTTGAATGGATTGTGATATGAATAATTATTAGTTGAGGTTGAATATTATGCCTTATTGGTTGAAGTTAATGAAGATATGAAGAATTATTGTTTAAGGTTGATTATGATATGAAGAATTATTGGTTGAAGTTGATTGTAATATAAAAAAAAAATATTGGTTGTGGCTCTCGTTGGACCGATCAAAAAGCACGCAAGAATGATTCTAAACTATGATAATGATGATGATGATGATGATGATGATAACTTACTATCCATTAACAGTACTAGTGACAGATACAGCCTGACCGTCTTCACTCAGTATGCTAAGATGAGTAGTTCCAGTCTTGAGAGGCACGTGGTATCGTTTGCCGTAATAGTTTTGAGTGTGAGTTTGATTGTCCCATATCATGTGACGTAGTTTCTTGGCTATATTTTCGTTCATCATTTCTTTTACAATCTGAAGTTAAACACGTGCTATTTATTTGATGGACCCATAAAGTGGTTGGCATCTACGCAATGTCGTACAATAATGTATTTTCCATCAAATAAATCAAGCAAGCAATCAACTAACTAACTAATCAATCACTCAATCACTCAATCAAATAATCAAGCAATCTATCTATATATATCCGAAATAATCACTCAAATAATCAATAATCAAGCAATCAATCATAGGCAAGCAAGCAGGCAAGCAAGCAGGCAAGCAAGCAGGCAAACAAGCAGGCAAGCAAGCAGGCAAACAAGCAAGCAATCAGGCAGGCAACAATGCATCATCATTCCAGTAACTTACTGTTCCTACAGTTTTTTCATAATCAGGATCGCCAAGCATTGATCTATATTTGTAGGCAAACTTGAATGTTTCAATGATTCGGTGATATGTACGGACTGGGTGTTTYTTCAGGTCGCTTGGCTTGAAGTGGTACCCTAGCAAATCATCAACAACAAATTTAGATTACCATCCTGACGTTAGATAGAAAAACACAGTCCTTTTTGATGACTCATTACAGTTTGAGCAATTATGTGTCATAACGCATGTGTAAATGTGGCGTTGTACGCAAGATGTCAAATAGTTATTGATTAAGATGGTTTTAGGTCCGGAGGGAGGGGGGGGGGGATACTCCCCTTTACTATTTGCTATACGGGTGTGTGCCGCGTGATAGGGTCCCTTTTGTCGGAGCTCCAAGTCTGGGATAGGATATCATTTTTTGCCCATTTGTCTGGGTAGGGTTTTGTCTGGATAGGGCAGTTTTTTGTCTAGGATAGGGTATAGTCTCATTGTCTGGGGTATGGTGGAGTTTTGCCTGTGATCGTATCTGCTAGGCCACGCTTTCAGTGCTAAAAAAATGCACCTTTGTACCTTTAGTCTGGATAGGGTATGTAGAATCAAAAAATTTGGTCTGGGATAGGGTAAGGGTTTTGAGGGTCCACTAGAAAAAATCGGCCGCTTTAATGGTGGTAAATTTGATGTAAATATGATGTAAGTGTCCAAAATTCTGTAAATTTAATGGAAATAACTTACATCAAATTTACAACCTTTAAAGCGCGCGATTTTTTCCAGTGGTCGTGTGTTGGGGAGGTTGTACCTAACCCCCCGGGGGGTTTTAGGAAACGTTATCAAACACTGAAAACATGATGTGCACTCTTCATTTCTGCTGCATGTCATCAATGTTTACACCAATATGAAGAGATTCCTTTAAGGTTGCTTTACCAACCTGATAGCATGTTTATGATCATAGCCAGTACTGGTCCTGCTGTAGGAGCAGGTCCTGTTAACAAAGTATGGCTTCCCAAGTTACTCTTCAAAGCAGGCTTAACCTTGACTTTGTAGGATTTAAGATCAGACAACGTCAGCCTTCCTCCAGCATGTTTGACATCGCTTACAATAGTTTTACTAAGAGARCCGTCATAAAACGGTCTTGAACTGCCTGCATTGGCGATGATTGTCAGGACTTTAGCAAGCTTTGGTCTTTTGATGATATCTCCAGTCTTGAGTAGTTTGCCATCATGAATGAAAGCCTTCCTGTATATCAAGGATATGTGTTACTAAAGATCAGGGGTGGATTAAGGGGGAGGCCATGCGGCACCTACATTTKGAATAATTTTTTCTTCTTTTAGAATAAGTACGTTGATGAAGGCAWATTCCCGCAAAAGTTTCCCGCCATTTTTGTCGACAGAACCCTCTTTCAAAAATTGCTGGATTCAATAGATCTATCGGGGGAACAAAGTTAACTCAGTTTCAGTGAAAATACCAACCTAAAACACTTGTCTTTTTTGAGTGTTTTCTTCCACAGCTGAACAGCAATGTTGACCGTTTCAGGCATTGGGAATCCATCCTTTGCGAGTTTAATAGAGGGTAGAAACAGATCCTTCCATTTCAGTCGGCCGTACATTTTCCAAGCTTTTTCCATTCCACGCAATTCACCCGGAACCGCAACTGCTAAACCACCTAGAGACAGTAGTATGATAACGAGACCGTTCATTGCAGAGGTAAAAAGAAGACAGCTGTAGGCACATTCAGTTGTCCCTACTAGGAAGCAAAGGTTTCCTTTGCCTTCCGTTCCTCATGAATAACATGAGGGACGATTAGTCTAATCTTCCCTCATGTTATTATGCATGAAGGACAATTACTAGTAATCGTCCCTCATGCTATTCATAAGAGGGATGTTCGCTTGTAAACATAGCTCGGAAGACAAAAGAATCCGAAGTGATCATGGTATTACGTGTGGTAAAATATTTGTTTTCAAAGGAGARCATATGAACTCAGTTTCCGATGTAACCATACCTTGAATACCATTTTTGGCATCGCCTTGGAACATGTCTCTATTGGCTTGTATAGGCGCCGTCTCCCTAAAGTCAATCATCTCTGCCTTCTTTCTAAAAGGGTCGTAGACAAGCATAAAGCCGCCGCCCCCTATCCCTGTAGAGTGCATGTTGATCACCCCCACACATAACATTGATGCAATAGCGGAATCCACGGCCGAACCCCCTTTGATAAGAATATCGCGACCTATTTTAGAGCAATGCTCGTTATCAGTGGCCACAGCAGCTTTGGAGTAATGATGTTGCTTGCTTGGGAAGTGTTTTGTGTGAGATGTCATGCTGAAATACACAAAATGATGATAAGAAATGATTACATCAAATTGACAAAAGTTGACTTTTAAAAATAGTGATATCCGGCTTTGAAGTAAAACCGAAGGGGATTTTGGGTACTCGACAATTGAATCCGGATTTATGCCTATAAACATGTTGCATTTCTTTTACAAAGATTACGTCATGATGATAGTCCTCTAAGCTTTTACGTCATGTACCGTATACGCAATGCATTGTAGGATATGTTTGGGGCAAAACATGGCGGATTGTTGTCTCTAGGAATTGAACCCACAATGCATTGAAAGTAAGGTAGTGACGTAAAAGGTTCAGAGGTGTAGACACAGTGCAGGAACTGAAAAATTAATTATTGCCTTCCCATATTCCCTTTAGGTCTTAGCTTAGATGATGTAACGGTTTTGAACATGACAACGTTTCAAGAGTATGATGATGATGATGATCATGACGATGATGATGATAACAACAGACAACAATAGCAACTACAACATGGGCAATAATGTTATGGCGATTTCAAGGATGGTTAATATGACGATATGATAACAAGATTTATAAGTTCATTGTGTTGTCCCTGTAGGTAGATGCATTCCGAAGTCTATAAAGCAATGAATATAAGGCAACTGTGGAAATATAATCCCTTGTTTTGATAAGTGTTTCTAGTAAACTCCACTATACTTTATAACAATGAATAAGACAATGCAACGAACTCAGTCAGCTTAACGTATGAATTCCCTGTTGAAATGTTTGCGTTTGTGTTCCCTAAGTAAAGTGATTCAAGACTTTTTTTCTGCTATACTTTTACTAAATCATTAAGTAAATTATATCCTCATTTCTACTGAAAAAGTTCTAAAAAATACATATACAGTATTCGATGCGTAATCTGTAAACTTTTGGTCTAAGAATCCACATTGAAGTGACGTTTGCTCGGCGTTTAGTATTATAACTAAATAAACCAACAACCATTTTGAACAGAGCTTTTATACCAAATATGGTCAAAAACTTCCCTAACTATCCAACTTGAAGACTTATAGTATCCTTAACCCTTTTCTGGCAATCTATCGTTTGTTACAGATCTTCCCTATGTATATAACAGCGTTATCTATAATGTAATTGAATTGATTTTACGTGTAATGTCCGATTTGCGCCATTTGAAAGGGYTACCACTGACCGGAGGTTTTTAAGTACGGAAGTGAAAATACAAAATTTCAGTAAATATTTCTTAACATACCTTCCCATCATAAAACGTTTGTGAAGCTGTCTTAATGGAGCAGTTCCATGAAATTTGACTGCAAGTCCTACAAGGACAACCACTCCAACAGCAATTGCTACAAGAATTCGCAACAAATGGCGACGAACGCGAATTGGCGACCTTGTTTCGTCGCATATMCCCATAATTGCTGTGTATTAACSTGTAGAAACGAAGGRTTTAAAGGTAGAATCGGACTAAACTATAGGATAAAGAGATATTGTCGTTCAATRATGGTAAAGTAGTTTCAACACGTCTCACAACAAGGTCTTGTTTCTTCTGTAGGCACCTGCCACACGTTTGGTACCCGTAATCAGCTACAGAATGTTCAATGTCAATTTTCTGTAAAAAAGCCCGTTTTTTTTATGTAGAACACATACGAAAAAATCSAAAATTTCAATTCCACATTTATTGAAGGGATTTAGGAACAAAACTGAGCAGAAAATAGTGTTTTTGTAAAGTAGTATTTTATAAAGATCAATTGGTTTAAATGATCAAGCGATGCGATGTTAAACTAAGGTTCCAACATATCATAATATCCAAAGATTTAAGCATTGAACCTCGCTATATGAAGCCTTTCTTATTTTATTTTTAATATCGCAAAGTTATGACACCAATAGGATTTGATTGGCTAAAATGTCACATACCATACATGCCATGTGAATGCCTGTCAAGTGTTCATAATTTKCCACGGTCATGACTCAATGCCATTTGAGCATTCGATAGATGTAACTGRAGTTGACAACTATGGGAAGCATTTCATCAGCGGGAACTTTAAAGAGGATATCTTCAGAAAGTCAAGGAGGATATACGYAGTGCCTCCTCAAAACGGGGGCAATTCTCTCCGGAACGAACCACATCACTTCACATAACACTAAAAGATAACAAGTCAGAAATATCAAAACGGAGAAGCGTTTCCATGGGCATGGCGGGTTTTGCGCTCTCTGTTGTACAAAGTTACACCAGAGAATTCAGATGCAAGCGGTTGTTTTAGAATTCTCAGTTTTATAATATTAGTTTTGACGTCTCTGGGGTTAGCGGGTGCGAATATCTAAACAAGTCGAGAAGCCTCTTAGCTTTCCATACAAAGTTTTTCATATTAAGTGATAGCTGCATCCGATAATTGTTGAATGATCTTATTCAAAATAACAAACATGCTATTTTCCTTAATTATTTCATTTACAAATTTTATTTCTGAAAAAAAGTGCTTAAGGCTATGACGTAAGTGTGCGAATTTAAGCATCCTAACATCGATCAATCATTTGTTGGTAGCTGTTACCGAATTACAAAAAAAAAGTATATATTTATTAGCAAAATTTCATAATTATMTTTCCCATGATGCTTTTCATGGAGTAAAGTTTTTGCTGATTCATTCATAATAATTGAAAACGCTGTAAGATCCAAAAAGGAAGAAGTAGAAAACCCTTAAATACTGTCTCAAAATGAGAAATATAAAACAAACGCTAAGAAATGATAGCAACATATGACAATCTTTAGGCGAAATCTTATTTTGCAAAACTGAATAATCTCTTCAAAAAATAAGAATCTTTTCAAACTAYATTCGRATTAYAAAAAATTSAACGTTTCTCTCCCCCATTCCTTTCATACCWTACTATTTTCCTGTGTACACCTAAAATCGTCTTATCAGCAAGAAAAAAAATCATATAATTTCACTATAATCCAATCTAAGCTGTTTCTTCTAGTCTTCAAGGGTAGAATCTTATACCAATACATTAATAATCATATATATGACAAACCCATCAAACTTTGCACAAGAGGTACTATATGCGACATGCTCTTAAAGCATTTAGTTCGTGTGTTGGCGGTTCGTTTTATATAGATAGCAAGGCAAACAAAATGTTACTTTTAGACAGAGAGCCTTTTGTACAATGTTATTACTATGAAAATAAGAATTTTGTCTTGTCAGCTTTACTTTTAATCCCTTAAAGTGTGTAATTCTATTTTAAAATAAATGGGCTGAAGGTCCTTTTTGGGTTTTGAAGTATTTGGCTGGCTTTTCAATATCATCTTAGATCACATTAATCACATCCAGCACTAATATACAATCGTATTTTAAGATAGAAAACTAACTCTCGATGCAGGGGGAAACGGTGGATTGAATCAAATTAATATCTAACTAAAGTGATTCTATTCTAGAAGGAACCATTAAGCTTTATAACACTTTTATATTTCTAAAAAAAATGTTTTCAAACAAGCGGGGGGAAAAACAGCGGATAAGAGAAATAAGAATGGCTTGTTGTTATTTATCCCCAAAATGGAATTGAAATAGTCAATGTAATGATTTGCAGTTCTCATATCATCAGTGAGAAAGGATTTCTGTGTTTTTCATATATAAAGTATGGCCTCCAACTGGCATAGTTATTAAGAATTGGCGCGCAACAGCGTCGCTCGCTTCAACTGTTGTATAACCTCACTGTGGGAGAGCTTATAACCGCGTTACAAGAGAGACCAAAATTATATACTATGTCAATTAAATCGTACATTTGTTAGGCAAGCACTCCAAGACCTTCAACACTAAGCTAGGTTATTGCTTCTCTCACAGCTGTCTTTTTCAATAGCAAAATAAGTTTTAATCTCCGACTCACTTTCAGAGAAAACGCATTACGTGTTTTTCAAAGTGTTTTGGTCTTTTGTGAAGGTCTTTTTCAATCACTCACTTAAACAACCGTTTGGGAAGGTGATCAATTCTTGCACGATCTTGAACCSGAGTTTCAAATTTGAATCCCGTTATTTTTTAATGAATCTGTCTCGCACCTTAATTCATTTATGCTTTAAAAATAAACGTTTCTTCTTGTGTGAATATTCATAGATCTATAAAGAAGCAATCTGCTTCAGGGTTTACGATTGTGTGGGATGCTTAAAACGCGACCATGGTTATAACATATAAACAAACTATCGCGGGATAATAACACGGCGAATCCTTCTCTGAATCTGATAACATCTCTAAACGGTATCTCTGTAGTTTGACTCATCAATCATTTCAGCTCTGATTAATGCCTTTAGGCATTGTTCAATTTGATACAAAGTGAGTTTTGTATGGTTCTACCTTGGCTTTAACCAATAAATTAAAGTCACTAGTTTTTAATGACACCACTAGTTAAAAAGCAGGAAACACGGCGACTTTAATTCTGTCAAATGACTTCCCCGTTCAATTTTGGCATTTCTTCATTGAAAGACTACCGATTAGGCAAAAGCGAGCAACAAATTATGCTGAAAGTCATATTGGCGGAAGAAGAGCTCTTATCTGGTATGTTTGTACTAGTTCGTGCGAACCGTACACCTGTAAGGTCTTTGTTTGACAAGAGGACCTTTACTAACAATATTCCCTCTCACCATGAGGCCAGAATTAAGCTTTTTTCAGTAAAAAAATCAAATAAACATCTCTCCCCCAAACAGTAATCAATGCATATCGGCACTAGACCCCTGCCACTTCGCCTTTGAATTGAGCGATTTTGACATTGGGAAGTCATTGTGTTTAAATATCTTAAATGCAAAGTGACAATATTAAATTGTAATTTGTGCCTGAAGGTAAAGCTGTTTCCTTTTTACCGCTCCATAGTATTGTGAAGTCATCAATATTCAACGGAGAGTTATGAAAGAATACCAACAAATAAATATCAAAGGCAACCTTGTTATTAATTCGTTAGTAATCAAGCGAATTTTTCATAACACTTTCAGGAGCTCGACATTTAATTTTAAGCCTGATCAATTGATCTCGCGTGGAGTCAATCTCTTAGTGTTTTCTTTTCTCAAGAGAAACCAGTTTAAGTGTTTGCAGAAGAAGTGTTTCACTGAAAGAGATACTATCTCGAGAAACTGTTCAAATCAGTCTCACTAACGATTTGAAATCCAATACTACTTAATATAATGGAAATTTGTACAGTATGTGGAGATCATTCCACAGGAAGACACTACGGGGCCAACACTTGCGAAGGATGTAAGCTTTTTTTCAAGAGAAGTATCAAAAAGCGTTTATATTACAGTTGTAGACTGGCCGGCTGTTGCCCTGTTAGCAAACGATACCGAAATAGTTGTCAATATTGCAGAATGAGAAAGTGCTTAGCTGTAGGGATGAAGAGAGAAGGTAAGAAGAAATCACTACCTGATAGCGACCTTCGTTCTCGTAATCTTTCAAAACATGAAAGGCTAGGTGAATGTCGTTAAAACATGGACTATTTTTTCCACGACTCAATAAATAGCGATTTGAAGTTGTTTTCATTTTAAACACTCAGATTACATATTTGTCAATATAAAAAGACACTTTTTTTTCTTTTCATGGAAAATAGAACGGTTTTTATAAAACGTAAATACGTTATAGGTATATTGTTGTGTAAAGTATTACATATCAATACTGTTAGTTAAAGTTAAGCTTGTAAACATTTACAACCTCATATACATTATTTTCGAAAAATATGTTTTTTCTCTTTTTTATTGAATGCATATTGTGTTAATGTTACAATTGATCACCGATTTGTCAAGACTTCATTCTATACAATGAAAATAATTCATGGTTTCGTTTCCTAGCCGTACAACAAACAAGACTGCAAGACTATGAGAAGCAACGAAAACGTCAAAAGAGACAACATCAAAAGGGAGAAATTAGAAAAGAGACGGATTTCGCTTCACTCTCAGATTTCGTTTTTCATCTACAAGCAGTTGAACCGTATTGTAGCAGCAGGTTAGAGAAGGAGACATCGTCAACTTCCTCTAATATCAAAATGAACACTTCATCGAAGGCACACTCCAGTAACGGAAGACCTAGTAGTGAAAAAACCAGAGAGATGGCAGCAAGATTGCTKTTTATGACTGTTCACTGGGCCAAAAAAGTCAAGCATTTTTCTGAACTATCTCACTTTGACCAAGTGACTTTGCTGAGGGAAAACTGGTGTAAAGTCTTCATCATAAACTTAGCGCAATGGGCAATGCCTCAATTTGAACTAGCGCCCTTGGTGGACGACGCAACGGAGAAAATACCCAACGGACATCTGGATAAAGTATTGAAAAATATGGGCAAGTTGAATGAGATCGTATTTAAACTAGTGCAGCTTCGGATGGATAGAGCGGAGTTTTCACTACTGAAAGCCCTTGCTTTGTTCAACCCCGGTAAGTTCATATAGCACACACTCTATTGAAGTTATTTTCATACATTTTGCGCGAAAATCGAAATCATTCTCTATAAGTAAACGTCAATTAGGATTGAATCGGAGTTTTTCTTTCGAGATGCGGTAATATGTTAAGCTTTTTGTCGCATAAGAAGACTAAATTAGAGAACCGACACTAGCTGATRSTATCTGAAAGTCCTTCCGTTTGAGTTAACGAAGATCATGGCATTGCACTTGATTGCTGTATACGATGAGTCTCGCAGCGGTAGACTAATGGCAAGAAAATTAAAACAATCACATTATACATAAATATATATACAAAGACCGAAGGGATTAAATGCCGCACCGCTACTGAAACACAGCCCAGCCGACATACAAAACAATCTTACCTATGCTAATCAATGAAACAAAAAAAACCCAAAGTAATAACAAACGAAAAACAATTTGCATGGTTTTGTGATAATGTTCGTGTCCTTGGAAGCTTAGTTATCACTTATTTAACACCGAAAACATCTCTTTAATAAAAAGATTTTGAAAACGGACGATACATTCAGATCTTTCACTAACGCTAACTTATAGCTTTGTTTTCTTTAATGACAACAGTTTTACTTAAATTATTTTTTGTTGGAGGGGGGTTAAATCTTGGTTTAGTAATATACATGATAAATGTTGACATCTCCCCGGGTTTGACAGTATCCCTTTTAAACTRCTTCCTTTTGAGTGAGGTCTTTTTAACAACCCGAATGACTTGTCTGAATTTATATTCATTGCAATAGGAGTTTGTTCCGGTTACATCCACCAAATACGCTAGTTCTGTTCAATTTCGAGTAAAACGAAGTGGTTCATTTGATCAACAGCTGCGAGATAATTCGCCAATCTTAGTCAAAACTCTAGATTTTACTAGAAAATCACCTTGAACGATAACCAATCAAATCGCGCGCGAATGAAGTCCAGCCACAAATAATTGAACAAATAGCATGTTTTTGTAGCTGATCCGCTACACAACAGGATGTTGAATATAGAATAAAATAAATCAATTTTACCAGTTCTTTTAACTAGCGATCAATAACACCAATTCATAGAACTATTCACAATAAGGTGACTGACATTTTGCACGTTATAAAAAAATGTATATTTAAAAGAAAATGGTTTAGATATGCTCGTCCTTTCACTCAGCCTTAATATGTACAGCGGGAAGCAAGAAAATTGCTTTGACTCGGTTAGCTTAACAAACTGTGACTAAACATCAGACTTGTTTTGTTAAAAAAATTCATTATATAATATACATACGATCATTATAAAAGCGAAAAATCATTTCGCTACAGAAGTGCAAGGGCAAGAACAAAGTTTGCGCAAACACCAGCAAAAGGCATGCCGCGTTTCAAATAATTTCCTACATGTATATTTTCACCGGCTCTGGTGAAAGCACGGATATATATTTCGGACTAAAGCAAATTTTCCGCATCATAAAATGATAGTTTTGTTCTGAAATGAGACGGCTCGTTTTTATTTTTTTAGTGATTTTTCCTTTATTTTAGTATTTTGGGGAATCCGCAATAGGGTTGGCCCAAGTACGTTTCGCCGTACTTTCGCTTGAAGAGTACAATCTGTACAATGAACTGAGGTGAAGGTGATGCCAGGGCTTCAAAGTAAAGAGCAAAGAGATTAAAAATATAATATAAAATAAACAAACAAAAACTCAACTCAACGAAAAACAAAACAAATAATCGAGCAATTCGCAAACAATTAACGAATCAAGCAAATTGGAACAGAAAGACGAATATAACATGAACAACTTATCCACTCTAAAGTCTTTCGACCGCGAATTATGACTTATAGAAGTAGACTTCGCTCTAATTGTTTTGTTTTGTTTTATCAATTAGAACAAGCTAGATTATCTTTCCTCGTTCACGATAAACGGAAAGCCCCTAGCTCATAAACCAGAATAGCCCGCCGTGACAAAGTCAGTCAAGCTAAAGCAAAAGTCATCCCTATATCTTAGAGCAAAACTGAGCTTACAAAAAGCCTCGTGTTTTAATATGTTATTTTTTTGCAGACACTGAACATTTGGCTGATACTGTACAGATACAAGCCATTCAAAACAAGACACAAAACGCGTTAGAGGAATACATACGCATGTACCATCACGTTCCCAACAGATTTGGACAAACTCTGCTTCGACTTGTGGCTCTTGGGTCMGTGGAAAGTAGAATCATTGAACATGTATTTTTTAACGAGCTCCTTGGAGGAGCGTCGATTTACACTTTAGTCGATGGCATCCTGAGAACAAAAGACATACATGGGAACTCGGAATGACTAAAGAAAGGGGACAGAAATAGCCATAGAACTGAACTCTGACATAAGACGATCACATCAAGTTTCGTAGCACAGCCCTTCTAAAGAGAGCAAAAGCAATAAAAGAGATTCTCCATCGATCTATGTAAAGTCTTCGCAATTTTCGAGAACATTCCCTATGTTGACTTTCCGGCTAACCTGTGCGGAAAACCATAAATCGCATGCACACTCAAAAGGTTTTTTGTATTTGAACTATTTTATGTCTTTGSAAAGTGTAAACCAAAGAGGCAAGGCCCCCAGATACACCTACTTTCAAAAAATTGGCACGGAGAAATAGAACATTCGTATAATAAAAAGGAATTTCTTAAAAAAGAAGATCAGTCACTCTGAACGCTTTCTTTTTCTCTTTTTAAATGCATTTCTTTTGACTAGAGCACAAATGTTGTATTTCTCTATGATTATAGGTGTACACAAACACTATTTGTACTAAGTAAGCAAAACCTTAGTTTTCTGAATAGTTTAACGATATCCCAATGGCAAGCAAATTAAATTTTAACTGATTTTATCAAAGAATACAATGACAATTATAAAAATATATATAGCGAATGGGCGTCATTCAGGCAAAACTCTGTACAATTAATCTCTAAAAAGCAAAAAAGTTGCGTTTTGTCAGTGTCATTGTACGGTTTTTGGCAACTCAGGGCTATACCTCACGACATAGCTGCTGTTTTCTTTATTATTGTTAGCTTCAAGATGGATTTACGAATTGTAAATGCAAAAATATACAAAAACAATTCCAATAAATTTTAAAATTTCGCAGCGCAAGCAACTTCGTACGTGCGTACTTGTGTAATAGACACTACGTTCCTACAACGGTGTTGGAGTGGGAAACTGACCATGCTTACGTATTGCGACCGTAATCGTACGTGACTGTACCGTAAACGTAACAATGTCAAATTACCACGTAAGCATAAACAGTAAATRGCAAAGTCAATTTCTCACTAAAACGGCTGTATTTCTCATTKRACCGATAAAAAATTTGTTGGTTATAAAATAATCATAAGGATGAATCCACCAGTGTAAAGAATGTACTCTATCATTAAATACTCTTAGTATAAATAAATAGAAAATTAAAGAAATTGTAGTGCAGTAGTGGAAGCCAAAATAAATTTGCTCACTGCTCGCTTGACTCTAGACAATTTGTGGGATTCCTGTGGTGACAACATCTGTAAATACGGAATATTTTTACGCGAGCCCGCGAGCCTTTCGCTGGAAAGGACGTACAACACCCACAACGTACAACACGAACAACACGAACAACACACATAACGCACAACACACTCAATGTACAAGCAACCAGTACTGGTCCTTCAAAGTCTCTAATTATTGCTAAGCTAAATTTCAGAGCTTTTTTCGGGGCTTTGAAAGTTGTTAAAGAAGAATTCCCTGCAAAAATTCCTTTACAATTTTACGACTTCCAAAATTTTAATAATCAGTGTGAAAATCAGGCATGCCTGGGTACTTCTACAAATCGCGAGTGCTATTAAATATGYATTGTTGTCCAAAATTCAAGTCTTATTTGGGCAATTTTCCAGTGAAGAAACTATCTTGCCCATCGCAAAGTTTGTGAAATACCTGAAAGTACTAGAATTCATGGGCTACCTGTGGTGTGATACATAGAAATATTACATTATTAAAAAGTACCTGCCGCAAAATAACCAAAAATACTCAAAATACTGAATAATTTATGATGTAACATGATGGTTTATGGGTAATCTACGGTTAYACCGAAGTTCTGGAACGAGCTCTCTTGCATGTGGCTTGCACTAGTTTATCTTGCGACAACTCGTTGATTACGAAAAGGAAACAAAAAATAAATTCTCTAGAAGGTAAGAATTTATAAACACCGCATACATAACTAAAAAATCATCAAGCATTTTTGATTTGAAATTAGGGGAAAATATTTAAACGAAAATACATGTATTTCATAACACTTGCAAAGTGCACTCACGTGAAACTACTTTTTTTTCTATTCGATATCTTTTAATGCAAAAAAAAAACACAACAACAACATCGCTTGCAAGGAATATTCTTGCAATTTCTTTCACTGTAGAGTTAATAAGGTTTGCTTTTCAGTACAGATTATAGAAATTCTTATCTTAGCAATAAAAACGCGAGGTTTTCTTTCCATGTTCCATTGCAAAACCTGACATTTCGTATGTTACTACTAAATATAAAAGAGATTTTTTCCTTAACTTTGCATTCAATAAATTGTAATTGCATATAAACAAACTCTTGCTTCAAAATGCCAAACAGAGATTTGCGGTTCGCAAACGTAAACATGAAGCAACAAACGTTGGAAATACAGTGATTTTTATAGTTTCATTGTTGCTGGCTTCATTCMCCGGAACTTTGATAGACAACTTGTATAATTTTAAAGCAAACATACAACACGCACATACAGATATACGACCTAAAGTATCGCAATAAATTGAAAAACACAACAAAARCAACCGCAGTGAGTTTTTCAACACACAAAATAGTTAAAATATTCAGCCAGAGTTTTGAAGAGATTTGAAGCGCAAGTCTATTATAACTTAATTCTCTTCAAAGTAGTGAAAGTTTGCTGACTTATGTCAGAAGAAATATTTTCAACATATTTTCAACTGTTTAATATAAGTTTCATTGAGCTTACGGTAAATATTGAAAACACGTCCTRTACTTTTTGCGCAATTAATCTGTACCTAATGCTAGTTTTTTGTTCATGAGTTTTCAGTTTACAAAAACAGTTTGTTTTAATATGTCTCAGTTTTAGTTAGCCCTAGGAATGGCAACTGGTGCAGCACATGATGGCATCGGCAAAGAATTACACTGTATGCAATGGTAGGTAAATGTGTAATAATGTTAAATTTAATAAGATTAGTACATGTCATGATAGCGTTTGTGGTATTTTCAGTATGACATATTTTCCATTACCTTTGTAGTCGATAGTTGATAGCAGGTACAATAAATCAAACCCCAGAATACCCTCCAAATCAGCGAACAGTGTAAAAACAGTGATAAAAAAAATGAAATTGCAAGTGTGAAAAACGAAAATATTCTATCTACATGTATATATTTTTCTTATGTTTTTTGTTCCAATCTAAGCTGTAAGACTAGCTGTGCATAGTGCCAAATGTTTTATAGGCACAAATATACTCTGCCCTGCCTTAATTGCACATAGAAAAGACAGAAGGACAGATAATCACAAAATTTATGGATTTCACTCCCCCCCCCCTCCCCAAATTCAAAATTTATGTATCCGCCCCTAAAATCTGTTGTGAACCCTAATTTTTTGTGGGTATACAGTACTTTGTTGTGGATTTAAATGCGTTAAAACAAATCTAAAAATCGCACTAGTCGGGTAGCATATAGCCGTATGACAAATAACTTACTTAGTGTCCCCTGTAGGGATAGTTTTTTTAAACTTACACTCAATCAAGTTTGGGAAWTCAATGTCCTGGTAACAATACTGAATTAAACGCCTTCTTGAATTCCATCCAACCGATTATGCATCACCCAACAACATTCATCACCATTAATACACAAGGGGGTAAAATGACGAGCAATAAGTTCGATGTTTTATTTGGACTTGGCGGGCTTTTCACCAATGATCAAATTACTTATATGTAACGTTACTTACCATATTTAAAGACTGGAATAAATTTCACTCAATRAAATGTCGATCTTAATCAGCCAATAGCTCTCCAGAACAGCGAGTGGAAGCGTCCAAAAACTCATTTTGTTCGGAATGGTCGACCAATTCAAGTCAGCCATCTTGGTTTTCAAGCTTGTTTTGTCACCACAGGAAGCCCAACAGTTTGGGATCCAGGACGTGTCCAGGATCACACAGTTTTCAAATTAGAACTTCAGGAATGCTATATAAGCAGCYTTGTAAGGCATATTTATTCTTTTTACAGGTGGTCATTACCAAGTGCGTTCAACTTGTGGTCTCCSTGGACATTTGACTTTGATGCCTTTTCAAATCATGAAACTACAGCAAATCAGGAACACCAACAGCCTCAAGAATCTGGTGAAGATCAGCAAATGAACCAGGCAACAGATTCATCTTGAATGCAAATGCAATGAATTGAGTGCAGTTTGTAAATAATCTTATGTATTCCTTTATTTGTATTAAAAATGAGAAAAAGAAAAATAAGTCCAAAAAAATGCTAAAAATCAGTAGTCATTAAAYCCATTAAAGTGTGATACTCAAATATGATACAAAATAAAACAATTTAGTAAGAGCGTACCAACATGTATTTGTGTAATATCTATTTCACTGGTTTTTGACTTTCACTTGCAGTAAATATTGTAGTAAAAATTATATAAAAAGCAATATAAAGCACAATAAAGGAAAAATTAGTATCCTAATGAAAAGAAATTATTATTTGTGTTATTGTTATACCACTGAATGTGAGGGATCTGTAGTTTTAGAAAACAGAAACATAGAATAAAAATGCAAGGACTATTAGTCCTTGAACTAGTCTACTTGTAGTGAATAACAAACAAACAAACATAAAAAAAAAACAAATATAAAGCAACATATGCAACAAAACAACAAGAGCTACTGAAAACACATTTTCACATATACACCTAATTACGAAAACGTTGTCCTGAGATTTAGGGATTTAGGAAATTAGAAATACATTAAAAGATAAAACATGATCACTGAAGCCGAACACTTTCTTTTGTATTTTAATTAATTCCTAAACAGTAAAATTTATTTTTTCTTGGACAACGTTTGTGTAATTAGGTGTATACAACACATATTTAACGAAATAAAGCAAACAAAACCTTTGACAGTATATGGTATCTTATTTTATTAGTCTATCTTACATTAAATACATGGTGAAAACAAGCTAGAAACTATAATACAATGTGTTTCATGATGTGCTGTTGCTCTTCTTTTTAAGAGTAAATTTGCCTTTTTGAAGAGATGTCAGATATATCTTCGTTTTTGTGTTGTCTGTTTTCTTTATAACAACCTGAAATAATAACACAATACTTGTGATTAGGACACTGTCATTAATATGCAAAAAAAAAAAGAAAAAAAAGAGAGACTCAACTAGAGACTCAGCGAGAGACTAAAATTACAAGTAATGCAAGGAATAAATATAATACTTACCTCATTTTGACCCACTGAATACAATATCCCACTAAAAATGAAAGAGATAACAAAACTAACATGACTTTGTGTGTCAAGTTGACTTTATATGAAAGTTGATAAACGGTGCTGCGCACCAACAAAAACAAGTAGTGAAGAGTCTAAAAATTGAACCTCTGTGGCTGAGGTGGAGCAAGTCGGTGGGAGAGAGTGCAATGATAAAAACCTTCCTTCACTACTATTTAATAGTAGTTTTCTTCATGATTACTGTGCCATCTTGAAGGTAGCCGTGCACCTTTACAACAAAGCGAGACAACCGTTGATTGTGGAATGATGGAAACCTTCATTCACACCTACAGAAAATTATTCACAGGTATCTATCATTGCACGCTCAACGGTTGTCTCGCTTTGATGAAATGGAACGGCTACCTTTCAAGATGGTGCAGGAAACTATGAATATACCATAGTTCTATAGCCAGTCGGAATGTTACACTTGTAATAGTCCATAGCTTGTTGGACTGAAAACAATTAGCAGTGCCTGTACTGTAATTGATATTTTTATTATACCTGTATTTTGCTCCATCTCTATTCTCTACAATAATACTATTCCCCTTGTGAAACCTGAAATACATAGAAAAATAAATTTGATCTACTGTCCAATAGCATCATTTCTAAATAAGTTGTATTTTCCACTGGCTGAGGAATGAAAAAAGTGGAAAATGTTTTCTCTCATACCATGGGAGCCTGGGCCAAGAGGCCTTAATCACATGGGCAGGGTTTTAGTTCAGTTGCTTTTYCKCTGTCCCCCATCGACTAAGTTTTCACCCAGGCAGTGCCCGCCCACCCTAGTACAGTGCTTGTAGTCATTCAGAATTTTGTACCGAGTAGAAGTATTTTGTAAAGTGAAATGTTAACATTGTACACAGTTGAGTTGTAATTTCTTAATAAAATAGTCTGTTGGTGGTAGTCAGCTAGACAATAAGCTTCCACTGGTGTGTGAGAAAATACTTAAAATAATTCTTAAACTTACCATTTCTTTTCATAATATAACTTTCCGTCATCTATCCTAGAGTCTGCATGGCCATGATCTGAGTGATTGCTGTTGTTGCCTAAAGAAACATTGAACAAAACAAACAAATAATAATAAAGTAAATGTAAAAAGTAGAATTTAGAATTTTAATATGACTTACCTCCCTTGACTCTGCTGTTGCTTTTACCTTGAGAAAGAGCTGGAGAACTTGTTGTCTGCACAAAACGAAATTCAAACATTTATAATACACAATTTGTACAAAACAAGGCATGTGACAAAATCTATAACTATCTTACTTCTCTGGAAGGAATTAGTTTATTCAGAGCTCGTAGATCCTCCATTATATCATCTTCGTCAAGAAGGTAGTTGATCTGAGGTGCAGCAAAGTCAAGAACAATACAGTATATTCACATTTTTATTCACAAATCCTTTGTCAACAGAATATTAGTTAGTTTCCTTGCTCACATCTGGATGCAATATAAATTGGAGCTRTCTTGGAATTACTTTTATCAAATTTAAAAACAAGTCAGAAAATGATYTATTGTAATTGCACAAAAGCAATTTTCTTTTTCAAACAGAATACTTGAATCATATGCCATCCAAATTCCTATATGGCCTTTCMACCTTGTTTTAATTCCTTTGTTTTCTTTCCAGGGCATCTATTTAATTCCCTCTTGTAATTCATTTTATACAACATTGATATTATTGCTTTAGCTAATAATATATAAACATGTGTTTCATAAATCTCAGAAACATGGACATTTTAGTTGAAGAAGTAAATAACCGAAATATAAACAAGACTAAAACCCCAAATGATGAGCTGGGCAGATCMGTTGGTTTTAAAACAAGAATGAAGAGTATGTTTGCTGCTTCAATTTAAGGATATGAGAAGTCTTTCTTCTCTTTTCTGGTGCAGGTAAAGGGTCATTTGGTCTTCGTCTCAGCTTTCTTGTAACAGCTGGTTTTATCTCAACAGAATCTGAAAYAGAMACAAGTAAGGAAAAACACATGCAACATCCTAGAGAAAAAGCTAATAAATATAACAATCATGGTTCTTTGTAGAATATGATTTTTACCTCCAGTTAGTTCCATTGAGACTCTCTCCGATTCGATTGTTCTTTTCTTTTCTTGTAGCTCAGAAAGCAAAGTATCTTTCAAGTCTATTTTCTTTTGCTGGAATGTAAAATAGATCATAGTTACAATAATCTAGGTATAGCAACAAAATGAYTGCCTTTCTTCAAAAGGAAAATTGTTTATTTTTACCTCATACTCCTCCTGCACTGCTCTYTTTTCCTTGATATGTTCTTTTTCAATTAGTTCAAACTAAAACATGATAAATGYAATTATATTTGTGTGCAAGCTTAAGCAAAGAAAACATTTCCTTGCAATTGCTCATGTTTGTTTACATAACATAGTAGTTTCCAGTCTTATCAATCACAAGAAACTTTGTGATGACATAAAGTGTGTAATAATTTTATCAACCTTACCTCATAGTTCCTGCAAATTTCTATCAAAGAAAGGAAATAAAGATTAACTGCTAATAGACCAAATTTATTATAATTCTTATTATACTTATTTTCAAACCTGTACCTGTGATTAGTAATCGTTCATCTCTGATTTTTTCAAGTTCTTTTAGTCGCCTCATGTATTCTTCATGCTTTCCTAAAAATAGATGAATAAGCTCTAATTTATTATACATAGACACTTGCAAAATCATTAATCAATCAAGACATAAGACAGAAGGCTTTAAATTATCACTCATAAGGTACCAACCAATGCATGTAAATCCACAGAAATCATGCTAGTAATTAATCAATGGATCATCCATCCATCCATCCATCCATCCATCAGCTTTAACTGTTTTAATCATTCCTAAAGCAATCTATTAACTAATCAACTACTAAACCTTCTCTCAAGGAATGCTTAATAAAAACAATCAATGAACAAATATTGATCAACTTTTAATCTCTCAGCCAAAACTTTGGATAATAGTGTTAATTATCTCCACTGTTGGCCTAAATATCTGCATACATGTATGTATACTACATTCCTTTGTTCTTTCTAGCTTTTTAAACTGTTGAAAATCTTAAATTATTGAAAGTTTTGATTAACCAAACTTTGATATTTTCTCTTAGTTGGCTTCTATGTGATTCATGTTCCACAAAAGTCCTATAATATCAAAATAATAACATTCACTTACCCATATTCAGCAGGTGTAGCTGTTGCTTGTAGTCTTTCAGCTTTTCTTGGTACATTCTGAAAAACAATTATTACCATAAGAAAACAACAACAAAAATTACAGGAAATGAACAGAAATCTTCAACTTACTGTTCTTTCATTTCAGTAAATTCTTCTTCAAGTTTGGCCATATCAGTCTCACTAGCATCTTCAGTATCTGGAATACAGTGGGTGATAATGGTTAGTGCTAGCAAGCCAGTKGCTCTTTCTAATTATTTCTGAATGGGCCAACGTGTGTCAATGTGTGTCTGTCCTGGCAGTGGTTGAGATATGGTTTTTGMCATCACTTCCAAGAAAAATAAAGGAGAATATACTGCAAAATGTTATTTCTTGCCAAAGGCAAATTAAGAGGCAGATTTAAATTTGAGGATTTAGACTGACTATGGATTACCCATGAAACTGAACAAACTGATGTGAACGCTGGTCAACAGTTGATCAAGTTTATTCCTCCCCCCTTGTTGTTGATTTGGATAAAACGGAGTAATATTTTATTAAATCAAAATGTAACGTAGGGCCTACCACGGTTTTCAACGAAAGCCTATACAACTTTGTGATATATTTTGCGAATCTTCTTGAGAATCATTTCTGCATTTTCTTGCATTTTGATYGTAAATAATGAGCTCTAGGACAATATTCAGCCAGTGTATGTTGAAAAGATCGAGTTYCGTTAATCAAAAAGACATCTAAGATGTCAGAGAAAATTTGTAAACAAGAAATAAGCATTCAGTATGCCATCCGTTTCGCAACAAAATACATACTAACCTTTTCATTTCACAACAAAATAAAATTCACTAACCTTCGTCTGACTCATTATGTCGCAAAAATCCTCTGTTATCTTCATCATCGTCAAATAAATCGGACCGGTTATCGTCAAAACTTGGTTCCCTCGAATAAATAGCCGCCATATTGACTTTSACTGTTGGAACTCCTGCGCCTGCGTCTTCCTGACTGACGCTGTTAGCTGATGAATCGCTTCGTGGGCTCGTACCGCCTGTTGATGACTGGAAAATAAAAGAGGGAAAGAAATTGAAAATGGAATTCATTAAATGTATAAAACTGAAAGAGATTCGAGGTTTAAAGTAAATTTGGGTCATCAACATGGTTTGATGCAAAATATTCAGTATTTGATATTTTTTTGTTGTAATTTTTTTCGAAGATAATTCTACTTCCTCGAATATYATCATAAACAGTTACAAAAATACATTATAGGGCTGACACTCATACGATGCCAGCTTAAAATCTAAAAGAATTGTAGCAATCGTGCCATAAATACATGTACTAACAATTGAAGAAAAGTTTTTGTTAAATCAAAATATTGCCGATCCAAAGGGAAAAAGCGTATGGACCAGAAAAAATTCTCAGTCTGGTGCCATAGTACATTATGACTTGGCAAAAAGTATTGCATAAATTGAAAAATCCAAAACCTAGTATTTTAAATAAACTTGACTGTATTTTGAAATTATCTTATTGCTGAAAAAATATTTTCGAAGGAGCTAATACGTTCTATGATGGCAGATGCACCAAGGTTGTCAGTGAGGATATGTTATGAAATTGCTATAAGAAAATTATATATTTGTATTTAATCTTTCTTTTTTAAGGAATATATCTTTTTTCTAAATTCACTAGTCTTTAAGAAATGATTAGAAATTTGATTTATCTGCCACGAAAGCAGTATAAAGCAGGAGAGTTAGTTGTTTTCTCCAGCCAGACACTAAACGAAGGGACTACGCTGTCTCAATGAGTGTCTTCGAGTACAAACTGCCTCCCTCGAAGTTCTTTTTCTTCTCAGATAAAAACAGGGAAAAAGTCCATAAGYCGATAAGCTTTCAATAAAAACACGCTCTAATTTACAAACCTTTTTCTTTTTTCTAACCACAGYAGAAGATTTTCCATTAGCTAAAGAAGTTTTCTTTCGTAAATTCTTCTGTGTCTTCGTCTTTGCTGTCGAATGGCTTCCTTTTGGTTTTGGCATGTTGATTTCAAACACCGTCCTTCAGATTTGAGAAGACGACCAGCTCTTAGTTCATAAATGGATTGATTTTTAGAGCRATTTCAAGAGGGTCTTGGAAAAAAATCCTCATTTGAAGGCTCAGTTTTTTTTGCTATAAAGCTACTCAGACAACTCAGTATTTGCGCGATCCATTTCCTGTATCTTATTTTTAGCTCATTGACATTTGATTGGTTTCTCGATACCACGTTGACCAATCGTAAATCAGGTCGTTCGATCTCACTTCCGGTTGCTTTGCGACCGCGTGATCTGGAGTCACTTGATCAAGGAACGGCGGAACGAAAGTTGTGTAAAATGGTGAGTTTTCCTTCGTGAAATCGATCTTAATTCTTGWAAACTTGTRAATTCTACAAGTGTAGTTTGCATYTCAAGATATTGAATAGTTTATAGACGAGCTTTRAGTGAATAATTTCGTTGAACTTGTGCAAAATTTTCAACAGTTCAAAAAACGATTTCCAGAGGTTATCAAATTTACAAATTTGTTCACAYATGATTGTGGAACCCATATTCTTGCCACATTCTTAGCCATTTAATMTCTATAGTTATTACAATAACGTCGAAKGTACATTTTTGCCCGTCACACCGGCTGATTTCATTGCAATGATGTTTATGTTCYAGCAGTACTGATTGTCCCCAATGCCTTCGCTGTCATATTAAATTATTCACAAGTTACATATTATTCTAATCGAATAATTATTATTCTTCAGCTCGTTCTAGTGCTAGGTGACCTACACATTCCTCATCGGCAGCACAGTTTGCCAGCAAAGTTTAAAAAACTCCTTGTAAGTACACAAAATGATACACTAGCTTTGCTTGCACAAAAATCAAACCACTCCCACCCCCTGTTATGCATTATTTTTGTATTTAGTCGTCCTTATATGGCACATATCATGATGTAATGATGATATTTCCTTGAAGGTACCAGGGAAGATTCAACATATACTTTGTACTGGAAACTTGTGCACAAAAGATTCTTATGATTACCTAAAGACCTTAGCAAGTGATGTKCACATTGTGMGAGGTGACTTTGATGATGTAAGTCTTGTAAGAATATTGTATTTTTTAAAGGTCAATTTTGTGCACCTGAATGTCTTGATYCCAACATTGACTATTCTTAGAATTCCAGTACAATTTGGAATAGCCTCGTTCCCAGGAAATCATTGGGAATAGTAAATTGATTTACACATAGATTTGAGGCTAAGCCTGATTGTACTGGAATTTTAAGAGGAGTCAACAGTCTCCTTTACACTACATTCCYATGTGGTCTTGCATTTCCTGTGGGAAGTCCTAACTCTTACTTGATATATGACATGGGTTCCTTTACAATTTCACCTATGGTACAATGCTAAAGTTTAATCATAGTTTGAAATGAATTGCAAGTATCTAGCCATGTTGTTACATTAATCAATTTTCAATATTATATATATCAAAATATTGGTCCTTACTTTATTGTCAACTCTGTATTGTAGAATCTTACTTACCCAGAGCAGAAAGTTGTTACTGTTGGTCAGTTCAAAATTGGAATATGCCATGGTCACCAAGTTGTCCCATGGGGGGATCCTGAGAGTCTTGCTATGGTAAAAAGCATTTTCTCCTTTTACTTTAAAATTTCAATCTATTCTACTACACCAAGTTAATAAGAACATCTTGTTGATGCTATAATATATTATATTTGCAGTTACAAAGACAGCTAGATGTTGATATACTTATTTTTGGCCACACTCATAAATTTGAAGCCTATGAACATGAAGGAAAATTCTACATTAATCCTGGCAGTGCCACAGGAGCCTACACACCACTAGAGAGGTAAATTGGTATTGTTTTACCCTACTTTTATCACTCAGGTTAGAGTGAAGSCATTGAACCACTGAAACAAAATTTGACTAAACAAGTGATAGCCAAATAGTGTAATATTTGTTTCACAAGTTTTTGACTTTACTCTGGAAAACCAAACGTTTTGAGATCAGTTGTTGTGGTATTGATTAGAAGTAGAGTGTTGTCAATGGGCTACATACCTGTCTGAGTTTGTGATGTAGATATTGGCTTTTCAAGTTGAGAACCAACCTCTTTGACATCACAAACATATGTAGCTTGCATTTACTTACCAGTATACACCCTTTTAATAAGTCCCAAGGTTTTGTGTTCTCTGCACTTGACGTCAAATCTATTCTTTTCAAATTTTTTAAATACAAAAGGAATTCAAAAGAATAAATTTGACGTCAAGTGCGGAGAACACAGAACCTCAGGACTTTTCTTAAACCTCAGGGCATTTATTAAACCTCGGGACTTATTAAACCTCAGGACTTATTAAAAGGGTGTATACTATATATCATTGGATGCTACATGTTTTCAAAATAGAAAAAAAGTATTTCATGGATAATTTAATAGTGTGCTGAATCAAGATATATTGAAATGTGAAACTTGCTGGAGCCACGGTCAAAGAGGCATATTGGCACATTTGATCTTTTTAAAGAGCACTSTATTAAGTAAATATATTATTAAGTTATTAATAAATAATTACATGTATTATTGGAGACCAGACAATTCTTTTTGGAACTTAATTTCAAAGAGACTCAGTTTTGTACAGAACATTGATTGATTTGATGGGGTTTCAGATTTTATAGCAGACTCGAATAACATTTGTTAACYATATTCTTTGCTTTCGCAGCAGTGTGAATGCATCATTTGTCCTSATGGATATTCAAGCATCCACTGTAGTGACTTACGTATACCAGCTTATTGGAAATGACGTCAAAGTTGAAAGAATTGAATACAAAAAACCTTAGAGATATAATTTGATTTGCTGATTCTTAGTTTCTATGTATAAAGGAATATGTCACATAAAGCACATAAAGAGAACACTTTTTGTCATTTATATCAGTGTTGCGCTATTTGGTATGGTTAGGTAAAGTCAAAGTAGAACTCTAAAAAAATGTAGTTTTCATTAGTAGTCCCATTGTGTAGATCAGCCTTTGAATGCTTATACATATAGCCACTTTGTTATCATCCATTCATTTCTAAAGAAGATTGGCCTCTAAAGTTTGATGTCTTGAGACGTTTTCAAAGTCGTAAGCCCTGGTTTTTAAGTTTTGACTTTAGCAGGACTTGTAGCTAGCCTATTTGACTTCTAGCTGTTAACCAAAGATAGCAAGCTGGCTATGTGAAAATATTGATAATGATTTCTTTCAGTACACAATATGTAAACCTGCTAATAGGTAAATGTTTTGGTTTCATTGTACATATTGCATGATAGCCTATGTTATATCCACATGCAATGCATGCTAGTACCTCAGAGTTGACACCTTTCTTTGATTGTTGTGCACACATAATAAAATCTTTGCTATGCTGATGCTATTATCCCACAACATACACACTGAATATTCTTAACAAATTTCTTGAAATCAAGGGACAAATAAGTCATGCAGGCAGGACAAGTGSTGGAGTAGAGCCAGGGTTAAACTTATAATATTCTTTTTATATCTTAAGTGGATTTCATATTSACAATTCTTTGCTATACAACTGGGGCCATTATCTACATGATAAYATTATATTATTATGACAAACAGATTCCAGTAGTAAGTTTTTAGTATATTACTCCAAATAATAAAATTTTACATTACAAGGACCTGTGTTTTAGTATATGCATTTTTCAATGCACACTTG